ATTATTAATGCCTAAGTAGAATCAGAGATATGTGACGGTATATACAGAGTAAACAGAATGTGAGGTAAGATCAATCTTATAAGCTTTCAATGTCGTGATCTTCTATGAGAATCGTCTTGTTGTAGCGCCGTTCCACGATTTTCTCGCCTCCTTTCGCCATGAGGAACAGGAACTGAAAAAAGTTAACCACTTCTGAATCGCCTTGATAGATTATATTTTGAGGCGTAATTGAATGCGCACTCCAATTTAGATTATATTTTGAGGCGTAACTGAATCAAAAAAACATAGAAGGGCTTCCAGGGCGTGATTACGACACGCACAGCCGGCGAGGAGGGGGTGATAAAAGACAATGAAAGACACCCCTGTTATAGAGAGCATCATGGAAGTATACTTCGCATTTGGTGGCGACACTCATGTTTAGTCTTGTTCGCTGCAAATGGCCTAGGCGTGCCGGGGGGGGGGTGGGCATGGCGCGGCGGTAACCCAATCCAGACCAGTTGTTGCCACCAGGACTACTTCGAGAATCTGGTTGCGAGCACCGCCCAGTCACTGACATGACAGCTTGCAGCATTTGCAGACGACAAGAATTATATCGGATGGACATGGCTTCGTCATTAATTAGATGTATCCTCTATGGCCGCCAAAAGCAGTCGTCTCTGGGATTGAATAGGGCGTTGCAAGGGCCGGGACGGGCCTGCGGGTGTCAGCCAGCGCGCGCGCATCAGCTTATTCCACCTCATTCACCTTTTTCTCACCTGACGTTTACACTGTTTTATGGCTGCCTTTTCTTAAGGTTAATTGTTCCTTGTCTTCACAGGAGGTAAATTATTGAGTTGCATATTCCTCAGAATTTTGGCACACCATTTAAACGAGTTGAGGCAAGCAATTGAATATAGTACCTAAAAAAATTGCAAAAACCGCCCTGTGAAACCAAAAAAAGCCTTTGGCCCTTCACTGTGCTTCATGAAAGAACAATAAAAACCAGCCTTGGAAAAATAAGAAAACGCAGCAGTAAAAATTAGGGAGAAAACTGTAAAATTAGACTGAAAACAGCTGATCGCCGCGGTCGCAACGCGCTGCAGCCGCGCCGCGACCCTTGCCGCCCTAATCAAGTCCCCGGATGACGATTGTACACATGGTCTCAAAATTACTTACGAATAATTTATAAAGAGTTCTCACGACTATATTTTGCCTTCTTTTGTAACCTGACCCCATGACCCGTTTCTGTGGATTATGGCTTTTTTGTTATTAACATTCACAAAGTCCGACGAAGCGTGTCTCTTGATGAGAAAGTGATGTTCATAATGGACGAGAAAAATTCCACTACCAGGAAAGCTCCCCAACTCACGAGATGTATTTGTTAGCTCATGCACGAAAAAAGAAAAGGCAGAATCTGAAGTAAAATGAGAGAACAACTCACAGTGATGGCAATCAGTACTAATGCGGTTATTGCAACGACGATCAAAGCTGTTACTGGCCAGTTGTAAGTCTTCTCCGATATAATGTGCTGAAAAAAATCTGTTTAATCTCTCAACTTGCTTCGTTCCCGTATTTCGTAAATGAAGGAGACAGAACAAGGATTCGAATAGAAATATCATAGAACGAATCTTTGAGCCAGATGAAATGAATCCACATGAAGAGCTGTGGAGGGAATAAGGTCAGAATAGGAAGAAGGTAAGAAGTACCCACACCCTGAACTCCGTTCCTATGATATTCACAACCTCAGAGCTTGCCTCACATGATAAGTGAGGCAAGATAATCGTCTCCGGCTGCGAAGACTCAGTTTTGTACAAAAAAAATCTTTTAGAGCCCCACAAGTTACTGGATCCAGAGTGGGTTGGATCTATCTTTACTGCTTTTACTACCACATTCTGTTTTTATTGTGAGTTTTCCTGACGGCTGATTTGAGCACTAACGGCAAATGTGCTTAAAGGACACAATCCACGGTTTGAAGTGGGCAACCTTGGACCCGCCGCCGCTCTTTCAGTGGGGATTTGCATGGCAAAGCGGAAAAATGCTGCGATCCAGTCGTGGCGAAGCCGGGAAGGCTCACAAGGTGACTTGGATTCCGCCGGCTTTCGTGCGAAAGGCATGGACATCGCCTTTCTGTAGGATTGTTTCAGCCGAAGATCTCTCGCGCTTTTTCGATGAAAAATGGACTGAGACGAAAAATACTGTCTCTTTCTTCTCTAGCCGCTTGCCTGCCAATAGTTTCCTGGTTGATTAGCAAAGAGTTGTTAGGAGGGACATGATCGTCGCATAGGTAGAGGAGTTGTATTTGAGGCGCTTAGCGAAGTAATGTCGAACAGTCTTACAGCTAATAGGCAGCTTCAGCATCGTGATGATGGTGTTCAGTACGACCCTGAGGCTCCCCTACCCCACACCTACTACCACTTTTGAAAAGCTTGCCCAGCTTCTCTACCAGTTTTTTACCAATTGCTCACATTATCCAGGTCCTGCAGCTCACCCAAGAATTTTCACGTCCGGCGAGGAGGTAGAGCGGGAAAGGAGGAGGAGAGGGCGGGAAATGCGGAGGCAAGGAAAACCGCGAAGAAGTCGACAACCGTGAGAAATTTCCATACAACGCGCGCAAGTTCCTTTTAAAACGCACGATGACAAGCCCGCTCTGCCAGAGTCTCACCAAACAAGTCCTCCCCTCCCCAGCGGCCGACATGTATGATCCCCCTGCCCCATAAGTTTCACCATCAGCCGAAGCTCTTTTTTCATACCCGGTTTATGAGCGGTTATTTACGGTACGGGTACGGTTTCCCATTCCTGATGCGAAAATGTCGCGAAAAGATCCCAGCGCACTTGAATGGTTTCCGAACAACGGCGTTGAATGTTCTCTTTTGCCTTCTGTTACTTCATTGAAAGTAACATGAGACAATTCAGATTTGGGAAAAAGCTTAATACACACTTGTAGACCAGACAAAGTCCTTGAAATGGGATGTAACCATATGCCTTACAATAGTTAACCGCTGTAAAACCAAATCTAGAGAACTTATTCCTTGGCCTGAGCGGTTGACAATGAACGTAGAAGATCCTCTTTGTTACTGTACCAAAGAACATAGCAGTCCATATTCCTAGATCCTCTCCACTTACCAGCATCCGCTTCACATTTCCTATAGTGTCGTTATTGAAATTGTTACTAATCGAAGCCACCGTCTCTGCTCCTCGCTCTTTTATCGTTGCTACCGCTCCATCGATCTGAAAATGGACGACAATATCGCGAGCTTGTACACATAAGATGGATCGAGAAAATAGAAACCGATACACTTGCATTCTCAGACCTGATATGTGAGCACATTGATCTGGCCTGAAAGCCTTTCTATCTGGAAAGACCACCCGATCGATAGAGGCATTGGATGAAGCCGTCGATGTGGCGACGTTATAGGGATCCATTGAATGGCACCCCTCGCTTTGTCGGGGTTAACCTTTGCCAAGGTTCTCCTAAACAAATATCCTATACTTCCTCGAGTCTGAGGTCCTGAACAACGCTACGATCAGAAGCAATGTTTGCACAGGAAGGATACAGAGCTTGTCCGTTTCCATGACTTGCGGCAGACGTCGTACTTTATCTTTATTTGGTACGTTGCGGGAGGCAACGTCAGAAAGAAGTACTTCGGGAAGTCCCAGAGAATGGAGCCGTACTTGGTCGCCGGAACGACGGGGTTCATTTGGGTCTGAAGATGTTGTCAGTAGTTTCCTCCTAGTTTTTTTTTCTCTCATTGGAAATAGGGGTAGGGCCAAATCAGAGGAGAGGATGAAGTTTTGGGACCTGTGGTTTCGAAAATGACTGTGCTACGTAGGCACGTGGGCTACACAGACAACAAATTAGGGCTCCTTTCCAATCTCTTCATCAACCAAGTCACCCAACTCCGCTTCAAAAGGCTAGAATACAGGTAGGAATCTATGCAATCCTATCTCTGTCACTCAAACGTATCCGGACCCTCTTGATGCTTGGTGTACTCACCTAACGTACCTCATTGACGTTCGCCTTATGTGCAGTAGTAGTCAGGGCACATCATTTGGGGGGATCGGGGGGGGGGGGGAGGGGGAGGGTGTTATGCCGTACGTGAATTGGAAAATCCCCAAGTAGCAACCCCACCCCCCTCCTGCCCTCCTCATGCGTTCGGTTAGTCACCGCTCTAAAATCCGTTCACGGCCTAAATAGAGGCGACCCTCGTCGAAGAGCTTGAGATCAAGCTGACACCCTAAGTCGTATCAATTGTCGTTAGGACAGTGCCCTTGTAGAAGCTAAACGCACCGACAATTCGAGTGATTCTATCGTAATTATGCTGACACTTATACACCTTCCACCGCCACGTATCTTTAGCATGATGGCAGGTCGTAATATAGACGTCCCACCATTATAGGATTGGGGTGGTATGTCACACTTGAGAAAATTTTTAGACAAAAATCTTATTGAAATGTTGCGTAGGAAAAACTAGAAGTCGCCTTACCTTATTCGAAAATGGCTGAACAGATGAGATCAACAGAGAAGTTATCTCATGGATAACATTGGAGCTGAAAGCTCTTCGAGAGCCAGTGGGAACCAAAATGTTCAGTGCCGGAGGTGTAGCAGGTGAGTCCGACTACGTTGGTGGCGATCGATCAGCGTGAGCACACGCTATCGCTGACTGTTTCGGCAAACAAATCGGATGTCGACGACTCTCTGACTCACACGCTATCTCCCATTTCATCAGAAATCTCACCGAAACATCAGAAGCGCACAAGTTCCAGTGATTCATCACAACAGTCTTTTGAATCGATTAGAACTACTTTGGGACCGAATTCCCAGGCTGTGGTTATCTGGTACCGCCCACTTTTTGGTAGCCGAAAAGTATAGCTCGATCCGATTTCTACGGGAAAACGTGGGCTGGGGGGGGGGCAGGGGATGTGGAGCAGTATCGTTCTGGGCTAGCACGTGTAGACCAAGAAGTCATCACATAACGTTTATTATCACTCTTAATAGTTTAACCGTTGGAGAAATGTTCTAATTACGCCGGTGCTTTCTTCAATATGGGTTTGTGCAGTGTGAACGTACAATTCTGAAACAATAATATCAGAAAATTGATTAACACTGGATCTGCTAGATGTCATCGATCTCTTACAAGTTCCTTGTTGACGAGCATAACAGCGGCTGTGTTATCAAACTGCCCGCAATAATTCGGTGCCGAAAATATTGTGACTAAATGTCGATCGGCGAAAAATTCGTAACCATCCTGGACTACCTGCAACAAAATCTGTAAAGGATGAAGTAGAGAGTTTGACTTATTCCTTGGCACTGGCCTTGTACCTATCGCGTGAGATCAGACATGGATAATACAGCGTTCACGTCTAATAATATATGACGGTGCAAACAGGGCATGCCCTACCGCTAGGGATGGAAATGTTAAAAATTCGACCACTTCTTGAAATTTTCTCCTCTGGGACAGTCATCCTTCTCCATCTTCCATCCTCTCCACCCAATCCCCTACCAGAACAGTCCCAACTCTCCACCACATTGCAGGACTTTCACCCCAGAGTTCTCCAGTTGACCCAAAAAAGCTCTCCAGCGGTATAGAGGAGGATATCGCTATTGAAACCTGGAATGGGAAAGCTCAGTGGAGAGAAGTCAGGAAATGCTTTTTTCGAAAAGGCAAATACGACCCTCCTCCCTCGCTGGGGTACCCTAAGGTATATGGTACTTTGACCATGAGTGCAGTGCAAAGTGGAGCAGTCTACCACGTGCGTACGGGTCGAAGATCAAATCCCAGATTGCCTCCCTCTCGGGCTAACGTAGAGCTCACCCGGGGAATGGGCTGTTGAGTAGAAGGCTTGACCTTAAAGTTGAACCCCGTTAGTGAGGTTTTATGGAGGAAATCACCTTAGACCCTCAGGACCATACAGCTTTTGCTTTCGCAGGACTATCGAGCAACTAAGCCGAGAGCTGATAGGTAGAGTATTGTTCGGTGCGAATGCTGCGTATCAGAGGGGCTATGGTTTGGCGCGGCTTCAGCCCCTGCTTCACCAAGTAGGAAAACTGGCAAGTGGTCGCAATTGGAAGAGAATGGACTGGCGCCACGACATACCGAGCTCCTTTACGCATCAAACCATCGGCAGTGAACAAGACTGTGAATCTGTTGGCCTAGATGAGACTCACTCAACAATTTGTGCGCTTCATTACGGGACCTTTCGACTGTGTTATCTAGACCGGCCCGAACTGTTCGACATGCACCACTCGGAGATTAATCTCACCTGATGAGCTCTAACAACGAGATCCAGTCCATGCAGCTTACAGAAATTCTTCAACGCGTCCGCTCCAAAGATACGTGCTGCTCCTCTAGGTGACTCTTCGAATCCAGAAATGTTCGGGTCCGGGTCGGCCCATGTTAGATCAGCAATTACCCCGATATCAGGTATGTCACATGGCCGTTCAATCTTCTCGAGCTAAAATAGAGATTTTGTCGTTTTCATAATATTGCCTGGGAGTCTTGCATTTTACAGTCCCTTCTAGACGTTCTCATTAAGGAAGAAAAAAGATCGCACCTGCTTGAAATCCATCAGCTCTTCGCTGATGCCGCCATGCATGCAAAGAATTCGTTTTTCCACACGAGCACAAAATGGCATTGTGTAAAAGGCGTATTGAAAGCACTCATATAAGGTTGCCGAGTACCTGTAACCGGTATTCATCCTGCTGTAGAGCCCCAAGTCAACATTCGTTGATACTGTACCAACAATGTCCTCCGGAAACAGCTTTCCGAGATAGGGGTGAGGTGATCACATAGGGTTCGAGCGCGGTAATTTCCCAACACACAAAAACACATACCGCTTTTTTATTTCCATATAAAAACCGTATTGCATGTTCACAGGACGAGATTCGTGGTTCCCACGAAGTAAGACAATTTCATCAGGATGTAGTACCTATAATCAGGACAATTTTGGCGGGCGCATAGTAGAAAACAAGTAGCTTAATGGAATATATACCATTTTCACTTTGAATTCACCACTTTTCAAACCAAATTCACCACTTTTCAAACCAAATTCACCACTTTTCAAATCAAATTCACCACTCTTTTAGACCGGGCAGTTCACCAACCAGATCACGCCAGACACCACTGCGAATAGGTTACGTGACATCTTGAACTTTTGTGCATGGTCCTGTTACGAAGCCCTGTGACGCAGACAGAGGTGAGCGGCTGCCAAAGGATC